GTGTAAGATGTGCGTTGATTGGGTCACTGGGTACGCTATGGAGGATTGTAAAATGAATACTTCCCAGACTAGTGGGTCATAAAAGCTTCCAGAAGGGAGTTTTTTAAGTCGAGATCCCAAGGATGAATTGTTGGCTTTATTTTATTTTTTTCTTACAATACATTACTTATTTTTTAAAAGCCCACAAGTTTACAATGTTTCCTGGTGCCCCATACCTGGATTCGCTGTGCAGATGTTTAAGGAAGCTGGCTCTCAAAGTTGCAGATGATGGAGCACATTAAGTTCATAGGACAGAAGAAAGCCTACAGCCCCAAGGGAAAGGACTGCTCTGTTCTGTCTCCTTCTCCTTTGATAGGCGGGAAAACAGACACATTGACACAAGCTTCCTGGGGCAGGGGCAGGGAAGGAAGGTGAGTCTCAAGGCCTCCAACTATTCCTCCAAGACAGTACAAACCAATTACAACACTGTTCTACTTACTTGCATACTAGTCTGAGTTAGAATGCCTGAAATCTTTTTTATTCAGATGTATTTGTTTATTTTTAGGCGGGGTGGGGGGCAGAGGGTGAGGGAGAGAGAATCTCAAGCAGACTCCTGGCTCTGCCAATAACTGGTGTGACTTGGGACCAGGTCTCTTCCTTTAGGAGTCTCATTTCCTCATCTGTACAATGCAGATGAAGCTCATCTGTATGAAGGGTTTAGCACAATGGCTGGCACATCGGAAGGGCTCAGTAAATGGTAAATGTCACTCCACCTGATCTAAAGGTGGAAGTCACAGGGCTGGAGACTGATCAGCTATGGGGAAGGAAAGGTGGAAAGAGGAACAAGGCAGAGGAGCTGTGATTTATCTCCAAGCGGCATGACTGGGACGATGGGGAGGCCGCCAGCTGAAACACACGTCAACAGGAGCAGATTTGAGGAAAGGGAGGCCAATTTCCCATTTGGGGCACAATGAATAGGACATGTCAGTAAGTCATCGAGATAGAGAAAACTGACAGCAGGATAAAAGCAGGGTTAGAGCTGCTCTTATTATTTATTGAAGGGAGCTCTATGTAGGAAAGAGAAATGTAATTTAAAAAGGCCTAAATTTCAAAGAACTAAAGAAACTTCCAGTGAAAGTAAAATAGTGACAAAGAATGATTACAAATACATTCCTTTAGCTAATATGAATACTGGGTGAAAAGCCACATCTCACAAAGGCCACCACACAGGGTCAGAGGGGCATCTTCACCACACAGGACACAGGGTCCTTTGTGCTGTGGCTGGTGGCACAGAGAGCAGATCCATTGTTCCCTTGTCTTCCCACAGCTGGGGGTTTCTTCAGGTGGAGACCACAGGTGGAAGTGTTATTGGCTCTTTAGTTTCGATGTCCCAAATCTAGGATCCCAGGAATCCGGAACTTACAACTTTTCAAGTTCTGAGTAGGCAGCGGGGGGAGTTGAGATGCCACCACACCGGAGGCGGGACTAGCAAGTAGCAGACAAGACGAAGACACGTTCAATTTGGGCCCTTCCTGAGAGAACTGTGGCTCAAAGCCTACATGCTGGCTAAGCGTGCCCAGTCCACCTGGGCTCATCCAGTTCTCTTTCAAACTCGCTTTGCTCTGTTGCAGCAATAGACCCTGGGCATCTCGGCATAGACCAAGGAATACATGTTATAATTTTATTTGCTGAGTTGAAGAGGTTCCCATCTTAGTATGCTTACTTAATAAATAAAAACTGTGTTTGGGCTGTAAATGACTTTTTAAAAAGCATGTGTTAAGTTTTAGCCGGGATGAAACAAACACACTTGAGTCCATTACGCTGTTTTAAGCCAAACTCCCCATTCTGAAGCAGCAGCTGTTCTTGCTAATTAGGATCACATTGATGGGTGGATAGTGCTAAGGCTTTTTCTTTAGATTTTTATTGTTATGTTAATCACCATACATTACATCATTAGTTTTTGATGTAGTGTTCCATGATTCATTGTTTGCGTGTAACACCCAGTGCTCCACACAGAACGTGCCCTCTTTAATACCCATCACCAGGCTAACCCATCCCCCACCCCCTCCCCTCTAGATCCCTCAGTTTGTTTTTCAGAGTCCATCGTCTCTCATGGTTCCTCTCCCCCTCCGATTTACCCCCCTTCATTCTTCCCCTCCTGCTATCTTTTTTTTTTAGTGCTAAGGCTTTTGCCTTGATGTAATTTTCTCTGGGTTGGCCAATGACAGCTTCTCTCTTCTGATGTCTGGGTGCTATAGCCAGCAAAAGGCATGCGTGGGCTTCTGGGCAGGTCACCAATCTGGTTGGCCTCCATACTCCAGAGTCATTTGGCAGAAAACTTGGCCAGTGTGCAGAGACACTTTTAAGTGAATTCCATGGGTGTGGAGACATCCTTGCAAAGCCTTTTTCCTTCCCTTTCAGTCCGAGCTGCCAAAAAACCCATTTTATACAGCTCTAGGCACTGTGTTTGGTGCGTGTTAGGTCTGAAGGTGGGGAGCCCTGGGAGGGCTGAGCCTGCACTTGATGCTGGCAGTCCCTTTGCATGATTCTTTTGATACTCTGGCAAAGACACCTGCCCTCTCCCCTCCAGAAGATTAGAGACTGCCTACATAACCAGCAGCAATATTATTTAATGATATTTACATCAGTTTCTAGATGGGTTGCAAAAATGGCACATCTTCTTCAAGAAATGGAAATGTTTTTACAGTCTCATTAGTTTTCCTTGATCAGAAAGGCTCAGTTTGCACAACAGGATTTTATTCTCAAAGGATGACTATTTCAAATACAATGCATCCCTCTATAGAGAAAACAACTCTAATGGTGACAGTGTCTATACAGATGGTCTAGTGAGATCATTCCTAAGAAGTATTGTTAACGAACTTAGAGTGAAAAGACACATGAAATGAGGAGTGGTTTGGGTAAGCAGTCAAACTAAACAAATATTTAGGGCCAGAACAGAGTAATTAAAAAAAAGGCAGGGTGGGGCAAAAAAGGACGGGAGGGGGAAAGTTTCTTGCATTCTCAGGGAACAATAAGACAGGGTGGGGGCAGGGACAAGGACACCAGACTTGGAAGAGATACTGCACATGAGGTTTGTGTTGGAAGAAGGTACAGGAAGGAGTGGGCAAGTCTGTTGGCCTTAAAACTCGTCCATATGGCTGGGCATTCTGGAAATCTGACCAGCTTGTTCAGTGGAAGCTCGGTTCCTAGGGTGGACAGACCACATCTAAGCCAAAAGGTGTCAGCTTTCTGTTCCCTCTGGCCCAGAGAACACACGTAAAACTCTCCTACACGGGCTGCCACTTGGTGGGTCCATTTGCACACCTTCTGACACTGGGCTGAATATCCAAGATCTGGTCATAAGGATCTTGGGAGGGTGGTCAAGATGAAAAAGGCTGAGGTGCTCTCATCAGTAAAGTGACCAAGAGGCGTACAGGCATGGGGACAAGTGAGGGAATGACTGTAGATAGCAAAATAGAGGAGAAAGGGGTCAGATATTAAAGTTGGATAAAATACAGTTAAGAGAGGTATTTAATTGGATTAGTGATGAAATAGAGTGAATTGCTGAGTCCTGGAATGGGCCCTGCAGGGTCATTTTAATCCACACATCACAACCTCCCCTCGGGTGGAGTTGAGAGGACAGTTCGTTACTCTGTAGAGGTAACTATGGAGGAGGCTTTCGCGCACAGCCCGGGTTATGCTGTAGAGGTTAGGAAAGGCTGCTTCGCCAGTTCCAGATAGGACCCCTGAGAATTAAGGGATATTCTGGTGTGTGTGGTGTGGTCTGAGCATTACATGGACAATAGTCCCTCAGAGGACACCACACAGACTCAAAATCAGCACTTCTACTTAACCATGTGCCATTTTTCATACCACAAAAATTATTAGAGGGCTGGAAAATCACAGGGAGGTCCATGCAAGCAACTGTGATATCCTGTGTGCCTTCCAGAGATCAGTGAAACTGTCCAAGAGGCCTCTTCCATTCCTAACACCTCTTAATATGATTAACTTACTGTGAATCTTATGGGCACAAAGCTTCCAGGAAGAGAATTTCCTCGGCTGAGTTTATAAAGAATACTAATGAGGTATACCAAAAGAAATCACCGAGGCTGATTCTCAGGGATAAAAATTCCCCACTCCTACCTCCCTTATTTAATCTCCCTTGGAATGGAGTAAAATCCAAACTGCTTATTAAAAGTACACCGTGGACATAAAGCAATCGTATGCAAAACAGCTGAGCACACAGAGCTTGGCAGGGGTGGGGTTTAGGAATGTTGGAAGCTCGAGTCTGTTCGGCTCCATTTCTCTTGGCCTAAGATGCTCTGATTTTATCAGCACTGAAATAGAAAAAAATGTATATTTATACATATGTGTGAAACAAGCTGTAAAGCTGCCTCCTCGGGCCAAACTGTGTCTGCACGGCCACATGCGGGTGGGAAGGGTCCCTAGGCACGATCACCACAGAGTCAAAAGGTTACTTTCTCAGATGTGGGCAAATCTCACTTTAATTGCAAAGCCTTCATTTACAGCACGCTCAACAATGAACAAACAGGAGGGCTGTGACTTTTGACCATGTGAATATATGAAAGTTCCTTGAAATTCAGGTAGGTGAGATAAGAGCATTCCACAAGAAAAGCACCCCTCCTCATCTTTCTGAAGACTGTTTTACATTTGAACCGGTGTCTGAGCATACTCGGAATTTCAAAATGGTAGGATGTGCCTTGCAGGGAGAGAAGAAAACCTTTTTTCATACTCTTAGGCAAATCCTTAGTGAAAAGGGTCCTGGGTGGGCATGGGAAACTGGGAGGAAGGGAGCACCAAGCGGTACTAAACGCATCCGCTCCACCACTGTAACACAGGCGAGACACGCCACCCCATGACCCCAGACACGGGGCGTTCAAGACCAGCCGTCGGAGAGTGGCCGCGGTCACTGCCTGGGATTGTGGAAGGGTCTCAATTCCGCCCATGGACAAAATCCTTGAACAGCAAATACAAACTGTCATTGAATTTAAGTCATAAAGAATCTTAAGGAAATTCTTGTTTTATTTATATAGATATGGACTCCTATTTCCCTAATTAGAGCAATGATCACACAATTGATATGCCTGTTCTATAAGGTTTGGAGGGTTTGTTCAAATACTGGAATGGCTTAAGAAAAGCATTCTCTAATTCTGATTTTATTTTACACTTTCAAAAGAGGTAAGAGGGAACACAGAGAAAAAATGTGATGAATTCCCTGACTCTGAGGCCCAGCAGGGACAAAACCAGACTTCTCTGACTCCGGGCTCATCCAGACTGCTGGGAAGGTTCAATGCCTAGGGAACCCCCGGGAAGACAAGGGAAGCCCACTGCGCCCCTCCCCCCCGACACACACAGAGAACTCTACAGTGAGTCTATCACCGTGCTCTAGCCGAAGCGTATGCTTAAAACTAAAGAGGGTCTCCACTTAACATCTACATTTAAAAACTGGAGCATTTCAGCAACAAATAAGCTCAGAGAGCTCATCCCAGAAGTGCAAAGAAAGAACTATTGCTCTGACATCTGGAAATCAAGCTGCTGTTCTCAGGCCCCCACACTCGAGGGCTCAGGCAGACACATAAGGTGGTGGCGGCTCCTTGGCAGTGCTGTTCACAGCAGCATCATCGTACGGGGGTAACAGCACCTGGGAAGCAACAGAGCGGACAAGGGTTAGTGCGTAATAAAAGTGCACAGACATTCCCCCTGAGCTTTCACTTCAATGGACCTTTCATGCAAAGAAACGTTGGCCATCACCTGTGCCAAATTTCAACTCGCCAGCAAGTGGCTACACTTCAATGAGAAGATGGGAAGAGACTTTTGGCCCTTTCCAAGTTTCCCAACCCCTGTTCACATGTGCCTGGACGTCAAGGTGCCTGGAGGGCCGCAGGGCTGTATCTCTAGGACTAGGAAGGAGGCGACTGTGTCTCTCGAGAGGAAAAAAGGCTTCTGGGTGATGTCTATGTGTGCACACGAGCAGGGTGGGCACCTGACTATGGGAACCACTCACGGTGACATCGGCCACATTTTCTCAGCGTAGCCTTGAGTAACTTACTTAACCTCAATTTCTGCACCTGTCATACGGGGTTACCAGAGAATTAGAGGTCTACAAAGTACTTAACACTGCTTGACGCACACCTGAGATGGTCGATATTATCTGTAAATGGCTGAAGAGGAACAAACGAGAACAAGCACTCGAGCTGACTGACCCTTCCTGTTCACACCTCAAGCCCAAAAACAAGTGCTTGGAATGGTTCCTGAACCGTCAACATAAGAAAACACTGACTGATTCGGAGTAAAAAAAAAAAAAAAAAAAACAGGGAATATGAACTCAGTATAGTTAGCCTTTCTTCAGTCAATTACCATTTATTATGCACCTACTAGATGAGTGGCATTATGGGTACAAGGTGATTAAGATAAAGGACAGTTCCTGCCCTTAGGAACAGCGATGAGATGAATGAAAACCTTACCCACCTCAAGTGCTTTGTGCAGCGAGGAAGAACATTCACAAATGGAAAAGAACAAAACAAAATTATGGGCATCACTTACACTGAAAGCGGTAAATATTTATCAATTTCTTGCACTTTCATTTATTTATCCTTTCAGCTCCCAGAGGCACAACACTCAAGTTTTATGTTTTGTGTTTTACTCTATTCCCCCAACAATGTCACAGACACGCACACACACACACTCCTACCTCTCTAATTCAACACACTTGACGACTTATTCTTGTCTTCTCCTAGTCTCGGAGCTCCTGTCGGGCTCAAGCCCAGTCTTACTTAACCTGGAGTTGGGCCCAGTGCCTATCCAACAGTAGGAGCTCAGATGTTGGTGGAATGAATGAGTGAGGCATGGCCCGGGCTGGTCCTGGGAGATTCTGTATGTGCCTTCGAAGGGCTAGTGCAGCCTGGCATTCCAGACAGAGGACACCGACGCTGGCAAGGGTCCAATGAGGAGACAGAAACCACCCGGTCATTTGAGCAGAGAAGGTTTCATAAGGAATAATTAACAGAGGACTGGAGGCGAAGCCGGTAAAATGGGGCATGATCAATGCATGGGTGTGAACAAGACGTCAGAGAAGAACACACAGGGAAAACGACGCCAGGCGTCTCAGGAAGAGGGATCGGGCCCAGAGAGAAGAGGAGGCACTTCGGGTAAACAGGTAAGCGCACAGGCAAAGGGAGGGGAGCCTGAAGGCAGAGCACCCGCTGGGACCCCGATGACAGGGGGGCGAGGGTCAGAGCATGAACACGGCCGTCTTCCACCTGAAGGCACTGTACCTAGCATCTGGCAGCAGCCTCTCCATGAGGGTCTCAGCCTGACCGGGGAGAAAAGCGTATTCTCTACAACAAAGCCACGGCTCCCCTCCCTGCGTCTGCACACTGCTCTGTGTGTATGCGTACGTGTACATGAGACACGGTAACTTCTAACCGGCGGCAACAGCTGTGACCGACACTAGAAGTATTAAATTTTGCATGACTGAGATTCAGCATTATGCTCCTCAGCCTCATTAAACAATTAACTGATTCATATCTATCATTATCCTTGGAGAGATGATCCTAAAACACAGCGGAGCTACTTAAAAGGGACTGAAATCAGCCACTGCATCCAATTTATTCTCTTTCCTGAGCAAAATACAACACTCAGATTCTGCAAAATGTACACAGAAGATTAAACATGACATTTTTTTTCAAAAAGAAAAAAATACTGTAACTTTGCCTTTTGTTTGTCAAAATAGACTTGCTTTCACATTGAATTGGTTTGTTACTGTTTCTTGTGATTTATCTTCAAACTTGTTCTATTTATTTATAAGAATATTTTATTTATTTATTTGAGAGAGAGAGAGCAAGCATAAGCAGGGAGGAGGGGCAGAGGGAGAGGGAGAAGCAAGGTCCCCACTGAGCAGGGAGCCCGACGCTGGGCTCGATCCCAGGACCCTGGGATCATGACCAGAGCTGAGGGCAGATGCTTAACTGACTGAGCCACCCAGGTGCCCCTTCAAACTTGTTTTAAAGTTTCACTTTACATCGGTATTTTAACATCCCAATATTGGCCTTTTGTCTCAAATATTCTATGGCCTTGGATCCTTTACCAAGTCAAGATGCCTGGTGATGAGTCTGTCCTTTCACCAGGGCTTGTGAGAGCCTCGCCTGTCTTCGCTTTCTCACCACCACATACTAAAAGCTGACTGAAGAACAGTCTTCACCTGGTACCTCATGCTCTTCTCACTGAAAGTTGTCCAAACAGAATCAGTTCTACATTCTCAAGCGACAGCGTCATCTTTTTTTTTTTAATCTAAATGATGGTAAATATTATTGACGATTTCAAGAAGGGCTGGTGACATAAGCCGCCATACTATTTCTATTTCAGTCTGTCGATACTGACTAAAAACACTCCCTATTGTCCTCCTCTACTAAGATCAATGAAGTACTTGGAAATCAGAGAAAACAACTCAATTAAGATAGAATGTGCCAATTAATATGCCATATAACCAAATTGGTGGAAATCCGATTATTTTGACATTTTTAAAAGTTGGCATTTAGTTAAACTCTTTCACTTTTCAAAATTTAGTCATTCACAATGAATGGCTAAAAAATAATCTCTGAGGACTAAGAACATAGGTCATATCCTACTTCAAACTAAAGTCACTGTCTGGTACTCGGCAGCTACTCAATGAGTAGGCAAACACAAGCACATTACAGATCTCAGCCACAGACCACTTTACTTCAAGCAATATTCAATACAATGAAATTCTAATCTAAGTACATACAGTCCCTTGGAGTTTGTCTTAATAGGAGCTTAACAGAGTGACTATGTGATAGTGTAACTTTCTTCCTTGCAGACGGAAAAATCCCTCTTGCCAATGACCCCAGAAGGCAGCTGTTAATTAGGAAGATTAGAATCTGTCTGTAGTGTCTCTTTAATTGGGAGTTATCGTGCTAGGTTACAGTGTGTTTGTGGGAAGGCAGCTCCTCAATCATTTCAGTTCAACTCAACAAATACTCAGAGTGTTACCAGAGCAAACTTCATTTTCCTAGCTACATCAATATAAAGAACAGTTGGAGGGAGAAATAAATTAACATCAAAGGTTGCAAAATGTAACAGAGAAGTGATTCCAGCTGGCCATACATCCACAAGGGATTAAAATTTCATTCCATCAAATACTAAGAAATGATAAAATGCTCAAGAGAAAAGAACTATTTATTGGTAAAAATAGGAGATTTTCGGGTACGATGGAGTGGGACTTATACCATTAGCGCTTAGGCACTAAAGGCTTATTTGGAACTCTATAGTTGCTAAGATTACATCCCCCAAAGTATTATATGTAAGTTACATATGTGTTTTCAGACATTCACAAAATGACATGCCAAATTTTGTGTTTGTGCAACTATTTTCCTGGGAAGAGTGCTCGGAGCTTTCATCAGATTCTCAAAGAACCATCCCTGGAGATTTGGGGGTCCAAAACGGGGGGTAAGAGGCACGAGGTAAACTGCACCAGAAGTCGGCTTGCTGGCTCCCGCATCCTAACAAGGCGAGGTATGTTAAAATGAAACCAGTAGCCAGGATGATGGCTGTGTGCGCCTCGTCCACCCTGGGGCAGGGGAAGGAGAAGCCCTAGGAAAGAGAGAGAACTGACAGACGACCTGAAAGAGCGAAACACTTGGAAAATAATATTGGTAGGTGGTTGACAGATCTAATAGCCACATAGAAAGGATGGGGACTTAGGTAACAGATAAAAAACTTGGCAGCTGAAAGAGCAAGGCAAATGTTTGCTGGGAAAAAAATCAAACACCAAACACCGTACAAGAGAATGTACATCACAGAGCTCTACACTGCCCGATACTCACTCCAAAGTAAACACTGACTGATGACGGCACCGAAAACCCGACACCGTGGTATGAACAGGACAGGGAAGCGGGGAACATGAGGAGGAAGAGAGTTAATTTTTTTCTTTTTTTAAGGTTTTATTTATTTATTTGAGAGAGAGAGAGAACACGCAGGAGCAGGGGGAAGGGCAGTGGGAGGGGGAGAAGCAGGCTCCCTGAGGAGCAGGGAGCCCGAAGCGGGGCTCCATCCCAGGACCCTGGGATCACAACCCAAACCAAAGGCAGACGCTTAACGGACTGAGCCATCCGGGTGCCCGGGAGTTAAATCCTGTTGAACAAGAAGGAAGTCAAAAGAGATCTGAAATCCATCATCAAACAGCTATGTAGACGCTATTTGTAAAATACAGAGGCAAACACTAGACGAGACAGGAAAAGGAGTCAGCAGTGCTTCCTGCTGGGCTGATAGGCAAGAGACGGGCAGGGAAATGAAGAAATCAGTCTTTCAATGCCATGAGCTTTAGCTATGCATATGGAATACCGTGTCAACAACCCAGATCACATTTAAAACATGAAAGAGTAACCATGGCAGTGCTGAAGGGAAGAGGGTGTCCATCATCGAGGGGCGACTTTCAACCTGAGGATGGGGGGCGGGCTAAGGGCCACGTCGTTCCTTTTGCCCTGCTGGCTGGCAGGCGAGCTGTTGGCTTGATAGGAGCTTCTGCAGGGGCCTGGAAGATGAGCCGACTTGCCAGGTTTTCGACTCTCAGAGCAAGAAAGGGTGGTAGGATCTGGATCCTGTGCAGTACAGACACCGAACAAA